TCTAGCCCAGTCACGTTATCCTAAATCTAACACGCGCTGGAAACTAATTAGAACAGAAATTCCTGTCATAGGAGGCACAACAAACAGATGATGGCAAACATTTTCTATCATTTATGCCCTTCCTCAGAAATGAATTTTATCATATTCATCCTCTCTGATGCGTTTTTATTTATTCATATGCAATAATCCTGTATCTGTTAGTTAATACACAGAAGTTTTATTTATTTCCTCGCGCTTGGTTCCCTGCCTTTCCTTAAGTTGAGTGTGACGCTCCATCCTGGACAGCTATTAGCTTAGTCAATGTATTCCAGACTTATTTAAGTTTCAGGATTCATATGTGTGACTTACCCTCCCAGCATCACATTAACTGTTTCAAAGCAATGTGCCATTAAAGTGTTGTGGCCATGTTTCTTGCTTTGTTATTCTCAGTAGATCTCAAAATATCGATCCCACTGGCGGTCCAGGGGAAGAAGTGTGATAGTAGCCAGTAGTTGGGTGTTTTCATTTTTTTTTTGGAAATAGTTTTCTGCCTTCTTGTGTGGATCTGACCTCTGGGCATGTTGTTTTAAAATTTTTCAAGGATTGCATCTTAGAAAAGTGAATCAAGGACATTTCCATATATCAGCTACTCAAAATTAAATTTGTTGCCTGGTGAATTTCTCAGTAGGCTCAAGCAATATACTTGGTGTATTGAATTTTTTTAGTGTTTCCTAAGTAGCCCTAATAGTATATCCATTACATTTTCTTTCCATTTGAAAAAAAAAATCACACTGTGCGATTATATGTGAACAGAAGAAACATTATTCAGCGCAGGTGTTTTAAGAACCATGGTAGGTAATGTTATACATTGAACAGGAGAGAGAATCAAGTGCTGATACATTAAGGATTTAGTAGGTAAAATAATTTTCATACTATAAATATCTGTTCAAATTGTTAAAACAAAATTTGTGGTAGTTAGTATAATTATTTAAGAGTTCACTCTTTTTAGCTTTCATATTGTGTTATGTTTTCATCTCATAGTAAAGGGTAAAATATATGTGATATTAATGTTTGAAAATATTTTTTCTGATGATAAGTAATAACTGCTCATTACCAAAAAAATTGAGAAATAGGGAATAGTCTAAGTAAGAAAAGTATCTCACTCTCTATATTGTATTCACGGTTAGCATCTTAGTATACTTTGCCTTTTTTCTCTATTTATTTAACCAGACACTCAACCTCTCCTATCCCCTCCCACCCTTTTCTTTTCTGTTCACCGAAATTAGTAACTTACTATATGTGCTATTTAATGATCTGTCTCCCTGCCCCCCCCCCCCCCACCCAGCCTTACACACATGCACGCATGCATGCACACACTTTTTTTTTTTAAAGGAATTACTCTATTAAAATATTATTTGGGGGGACTGGAGCAATAACACAGCAGGAAGGGCATTTGCCCTGCATGTGGCCAACCCAGGTTCAATTCTCAGCATCCAGTATGGTCCCCCAAGCACTGCCAGGAGTGATTCCTGAGTGCAGAGCCAGGAATAACGCCTGAGCATCTCAGGGTGTGACCCAAAAAGCAAAAACAAATGAAAAAAAAAACCAATAAAATACTATTTTTTGTGGTTCTTACCGCTTGTGATTATTTTGAGCGAACAGCTATTTTCATTACCAGTCTGTGGTCAGGAGTCAGTGTTGGGCCTGCCTTATTCCCACAAACCTGTGCCATTCCCACTGTGTAGTTGCTTTCGTTGCTTAAATCATGCTGACTGCATTTTCTCACTACAAATTCTTGTGTACTTTCCTTAATTCCTAGAAGTAAAATTGGCCAAGTGATAAGCAGATTAACGAGTTAAGATATATACACATGAACATCTATATATTCAAATAGAGTTGCTTCCATAAATCTCAGCATACCTAATTTGTATTCACTTACAAAATTTATACGGTTAATTTCATTCTTTGTGATATATAGCTCTAAGAGTTTTGACAAATATATGCAATTGTTTAACCACCACCATAATTAAGAAATGGACTAGATCAATCACCTAGATAAATTTCCTACTTTTCCCTTAACTGCAGAGAATGGTGTTTTTAACTAGGTAAATATGAAGCAAAAATAACTAGAAACCATCTACAAGACACCAGTACACTGTAAGCTTTGCTTATGTTCAATGCATATGGTTCTGTTCTCTTTTTTTTTTCTAGAAAGAGATTAAGCTGTCTTTTCTACTTGTACTTTTTCCCTTTTTTTAAAAAAACAGGATAATTTGAGTATTTTTCTATTTAACCATTGGACTGGTTTTTTTTTCTGTGAAATTGTCTGTATCTCAAACCTGTTTGTATATTATACAATTGCCAAATTAATTTTCTGCTTATAGAAGTAATGACTTCCTTATAGAACATTTAGAACAAAACAGTTCATATATGAGCCATTGTTTATGTCCTCAAAGTAGAGTATTTTTAAGACTTTTTGGTTGAACTAATTTTAGAAATGATTACATCAACTTACAGTCTGACCTGACAGGAGTTTTAAAGAGCCTTATTTCCCGATCCTTGCCAATATCATTATATATTATTGAAAGTTTGATGAATAACGGAACAATCATTATTTTAATTTTCATTCCCTGGTTTTTACAGTGTTGGGTCCTCCCCTCCCCATGTGTTTATTATTTGTATTGCTGTCATTTTAATGTTTTTATTTCAGATTTTTTTTAGGTGATGTAGACAGCTTTTTAAAAACTGCTTTGTATATTAATAACATTGATGTACATATTCACATGTTGGATTTCTTTTCCTCTTTTGTCATTTTATTATTTACATGATTTGCTATGTTTATTTTATGAAGGTCCTGATATCTCCAGTGTTTCTTTAATTTATATATATGTATACATATATATATATGTGCACACATATATATAGTGTGTGTGTCTGTGTGTGTATCTGTGTGTTTAACATCGGTAGGTCTTTTCTCTCTAGACCATATTTCAGTGCACATTTATGACACAACTTTGTCAAATTCATTCTCCATTCACTTTTTCTTTTATGTAACTCCCAGTGAAAAATATGTTTTTCTGTGTTGAGTCAAGGAGCTGTAGGCTGTGTGCTTGCACATGAATAATTTTTATCCAATACTAATAATGTATTTGTCTTCATTTATTCATAGGCTTTTGAACAGTATGTACTTTTCATTGAAATCTTTCATTCATACTGTTGTGGCACAGGACCATTTCACATTGTCCTGTGTTAGCTTAAGTCCTTCTCATCTCCCTCCACCCACCTCGACCCACCCTACCCCCATTTCTTTCTTTGCTTTGCCTTTTGAAATGTTGATGTTATCCATCAGATCTCTTTCACATGAGGAATAAAACTTAATTTAATGCATATAATTAAATATTTCTTTGGCTTTTTACATGCTGCAGGACATTGAAGAGAAAGTAAGTAGCAAAATCATCATCTCAAAATGTGTTGTCTTTGAACACAGTTTGATTAAACCAAGTAGATGGCCAGTGAACAGTAACCTTAATATGGTTAAGTAGTGAATATTGATCATCTCACTCTAAAAAAAAAGATATATAAACAGAAGGGGGGAGAGGCAGGCAGGGTGATAGCCTTACACCTTTAAATGTAAAAACATGTACATTTGCACTCATAAACCAGTGTTAGTTGCTGAGAGATCATACAGCAGGATAGGCACTTGCCTTGTGTATAGGCAACCCTGATTCCATCCTTGGCACAAAAATGGTTCCCCAAGCACCGCTAGATATAATCTCTGACACAGAGCCAAGAGTAAGCTCTGAGCATAGCCCGGTATGGCCCCCAAACCGAAAATAAATATAAATTAGTATGTATACAAACCCGTGTTAAATAAAATTAATTTTAAAATATATGGTATACAGGATGTATGAATGGGAATGCCAAAACATAACATGATTCATTTATTTAAATGTTCTCATCCAGGTATCCATTCAGCACTGGCAGAATAGAAAATATGTAAAGAATTTCTAATTTGGGTGATCTGTTCTATTCAGAGACACAGCACACTTGAACATAATGATGAAGATGCAAGCAATAGCCTGAGAAATGATTTTTTTTGAAAAAAAAAAATTCTAATCTTGGAAAAACTTAAATAACTATCTTTATCATTCATTGTTTTCAAAAACGAATTCCAAATTTGATTTTTATCATTGAATCAAAATATTTTACTTTTCAAAACACGTCATAAAAAACATGTCTTGCATATTAAAAGTAGAACAACCAGGACTTTAAAGTACTTTGAGTAGTTGTATTCATTGTTATCTGCAAAGGGGATTTGAGATAAGCCAAGAGATCCTCAGGGTCTATACCTTGCTCTGCATTTTGGGGTTAGTCCTGGTGGTATTCAGGGGAAATGCACTACCAAGATTCAAATCTGGGTGGGGTTGCATGCATGGCAGATGTTTGACCCCTATGTTACCCCTCTGCCAGTTATTATTTTTCAGAATATTTCAGTTAGAATCACAGTCATTTCCTACCCCATTCCATAAAGACATTTATTTAATAAAAAAAATTCCATCAACACATGCACTTTTGTTCAGGATTTGGCGTGGTAATTTAAGAATTCTCAGTTTATGCACCAAATGTCATTTTGTTGACGTTCAAGAAAGCAGGTTAATAGCCTTGTGTCTTGTGCCCAAAATAAATTCAAATTTTTATGGTACACTATATTAATCTTTGAAATTGCTCTTCGAAAGAGAAGTTAAATAAAATTGTCTGTGTTGTATTCTGACATCCCCCAAATATTTCTGGACAAAGTAGGACACAGCTGTCTCGGTTGAAAAAAAAAATACAATGTCGACTCATTCTTTCCATTTAAATACAGCAATCATCATCTTATTAATACTCTTCTGTGGCAGAGACCTAGTAGATTGCACAATCCTCAGTTTTGTATACTTGTTTCTAATGTGATTTATACTTGACTTTTACTTTGCTGTTGCTGCTTTTTCTTGATATAGTATATTCTTCACTTCTTTTTTTAGGCTAAGCAGCTGGAAGAGAGAGATCGAATGATAAAGAAGCAGGATGCTTTCTACAAAGAGCAGCTGGCTAGACTGGAGGAAAGGGTATGACTATTTCTTATCATTGATTCTCTTCCCACATCTGCAACTTTCCCAGGGGTTTATTTAAAAATCAATACATTAGACCTCTTAACTGTTTTTTTCCAAGTTAAAACGTAGCCATGTCATGAAGAAGCCAAAGAGATTATTCTGTGTTGCTTCTACTTTGGAAGTTTGGGGGTAGATGTACATTATGATTTGTGGATGCATCTTGGTCTCCCACAACCACACAAATATATTTCCTTTTATGTTTAGAAACTTCATTGCCTCCGTAATAGACAGCAGAGTTTCGTTTTTTTGTTTCTGTTGGGGCCACACCCGGTGTTGTTCATGGTTTACTCCTGACTCAGCACTCAGGGATTACTCCTGGAAGTGCTCAGGGGACCATATGAGATGACAGGGATTGAAATCGAACCCGGGGCAGCTACATGCAAGGCAAACACCCTACCCACCATACTATCTCTCCAGCTCCTTGAATTTCATGCTGAACTCTTGAAAACAGTACTTAGCCTTGAGGCATTCTTAGAAATGGGAGTGTCTTAAAGGATAGATTATCTTTGTGAACTGTTTCAGTGCCTTTATGGCTAAGGATGTCTCAGAAGTGGTGGACAAGGGCTGAAGAGTAAGATATAAGAATGGTGATGAGGAGGAGTCCTTTGTGTCTAGTTCTAGATGTTGTTCAAATAAATTCTAGGCCCACACTGACTAAATGTACCACATGTGCCTAGAATTTAATTTGACCAAGACGCTAAAGAGGGAACTAAGGGTGAGAGAGGAGGCGGCAGTGATTTAAGAAGGGGGGTTTGAGCACCTCCTAGAACTCCTGTTCTTAAAAGTAGACCTCTCTAGAAGAATTTTCTTCATAGACTGAGGTTACAAAGCTTCTTCCTCCCTTTAACTGAGACTGTTCCCCTAATATGATTTACAGAGATTAGGACTTCTAATTTAAAAGCAGGTAAAATAAGAAGCATCCCATTCAGTCTCTTCCTTCTTAGTTAGCTATGATCACCTGCCTCTCTGTCACTGGTCCGAGTGTGCTGTGACCTGGGAGGTCCATTTTCTCATTCATTCAGTAGCTCTCTGCTTAATTCCTGGATACCTGTCAGGCCCTGGTAGAGTGCCAGAGATAGACCAGCGAGGAGAGTCAGCTGAACCTCACACCTGCGAACAAGACTATTATCAAAAAGATAAGAAATTATAATTGTTGGCAAGGAATGCAGAGGAAAGGGAACCCTCGGGCATGGTTGGTGAGAATTAATTGACACAGCCATTATGGAAAACAGTTTGGAGGTGCCTCAAAACAAGAAAAACAATGCCCTGTGATCCAGAAATTCTACTTCTGGGCATTTTTCTGAAGAAAATCAGAAAACTAACTTGAAGAGATATGTGCGCCCTCCTCCCCAACACACACACACACACACACACACACACACACACACACACACACACACATTCATCATATAGATTTGTTCTCTCATTTTTTGACAGTTTACCTAATCTCTAGAAGCGTTTGGTTCTCTCTAAAGTGGGGCTAGAACTCTGTTCTTTTCCTTCCTTTCTGAATCATTGGGGGAGGAGGCAGGTTAATGTGTAAAATTCTCTTAGAAAATGAGAACGTAACATTCTCATTACGTTCAGAGAGCGTAACAAATACAGAGAGTGACCATTCAGGAAGACCTGCTTACTTTCCATTTTTGTACTCAATAATACTAATAAACATAAAATTATTGTAGTTTCTAACTTCTTGATATCCTCTACCGATTTCTTTAAGTTCCTGGTTTTGCTTGTTTCTGCCTTTTCTGATGACCGTAAGTTGAATTTGATGCAATAGGGTTTCATCCAGGAATTTCTGAGAGACACTCTGACCCCAAATGATGAAAGCAATTTCTGGGCTTAATGTAAAAGATTCCAAAAGGGGATTTCTCTTGCATTGCAGTGACAGTGATAGAATCAATCACCAGATCATTTCTATTAGTAGCTTTCATCACACTTTGTGTTAGAAGATATCTAAGTGGTGAAAACAGAAAGACATAGAGTAAGAAGAAACTCGTAAGATTCTTGTAAGATTATATTCTAGGTTGTGGAATCATCTGGTCTCCCTGTAGCCCTTTTTTTTAAAAGAGGATATTTCCTCTTTGAAACAAAGAGGATGATGAAATATGTTGGATGCTTGTGTTTAAGGGAGAGGGATCATCAAGAACCCTTCTATAGAATCACCCAAGGGAGATCTCTACTATCAGCTCACCGTTTCCTCAACTAGATTAACAGACACATTAATTTTGTGCCTTTAACTTCTTGATGACTCAGTCTTACTGCTTGAACTATGCATTTTCATTGACTTGACGCAACTTCCTTTGAACACCATGACCCAGAATCCATGGAGCCATTTGAAGAACCTTCAATTCTGTAAAGGCATTTTGGTTTGCTTCTTGGATCTATTTTAGCCAACTCTTTATTGTCTTCTATTTTAGCCAACTCTCTATTCCCCAAATAAATAGGATCATTTATATTGGCTAGTTCAATGGGGATCTGAGATCATGTTCTGTATTTTACCAATTAGTGAGGCGTGATCTACTATAATGTTTCATCCTCAGAACCACTATTCCAAAGCTGTTCTTTACAGAGAAGTCACGGTCATTTGACAAGGTTCATTTATTTATTTATTTATTTATTTTATTTAAACACCACGCTTTGCAAAGTTGTTCATAATACAGTTGTTTCAGGCATTCAGTTTTCCAACAACAATCCCACCTCCACAGGTAGACCCTTCCCTCCACCAATGTTCTCAGTTTCCCACCCACTCTCCAATGCACCTTAGCAGAAGCAAAGAAATTTACTTCATACTGTTAATTACAAGAAAATGGCAAATGCAATTATCAAAACATAGAACATTAAAAGGCCATTTGTGATCAATCTTGTATCTCACAGTGGTGTTACTAAAGTCATTTTCTGAGGATTTATTTAGCTGGTTGGTGCTAGTTGAGCCTTCAGTGCTATTGTTTTAATTCATTGAGGTGGGTGGAGTTCTACACAAGACACCCATCAAGTTTGCTCTGCTCCTACTAGGCTGATGGCACTGTGAAATTTGGAGGTGCAGCCATGAGCTGTGGAGTCGGGCTGTTTATATGTCCTGGAACCTCAGATGTGGGTGGAGGTTTATGGACCTCCCTCCAGGAAGGGGAATCTGCCCCCCCCCATTCTGAGAAAGACAGTTCTCAGTCCTACTTTTCATTTTAACTGGGGAGATTTGGCAGCTGGGCAAGTTGATCCCATTTGGCAAGTGTTTTCCTCGTACTCATTTTACTGCAAATGTTAGCTTATCAAAGAACAAAGACAAACGAAAAATATGCTTTTATAATTTAAGAACACTAGAGGTGTCATATTTAGGTGTGGGATCTCACAGAGAAAATTTTGAATAGTAATTTATGGTGGCAGATGGAAGAGACTTGGAGAGTCTCGATTTTGGGCCACTTTCAAAGAGAAGAGTTTTGTTGTTTTTTTTTTTCCTTTTTCCTTTTTTGGTTTTTGATTTTGGGGCTATACCTGGCGATGTTCTGGGACTCCTCCTGGTGTGGTGCTAGGGATCACACTCTGGCCTCCTACTTGCAAAACTTGTCCTCCTGCTGTCTTCCCAGCCCTAAAATAAAGAGGATGATTCTTGAATGTTTGGAGAAGCCTTTCTCAAATCCCTGAGTACTCTACAATGCTTTATATCTATTTATGGAAAATCATTATCTGCATTGATCTTTAAACTAGTAGAAGGCAAAAATTTATGTATTTGGGGAAGGGAGGGGTGTTTGGGCCACAGCCATTGTGCTCAGGGGGCTGCTCAAGGCTCTGTACTTAGGACTGACCTCGGGCAGTGCTCATGGAACTGTATATATTTGACTTGAAGTTAGTGGTATGCAAGGCAAGCTCCTTAACCCTTGCACTATCTCCCCAGCCCAAAATTTCTGTTGTTTTGTTTTGTTTCATATTTTTTTTGCATCTCACATAGTAGCTCAGTGAACGAATTCTTGACTTCTTAATCTTACACAATAAAGTTATGTCTAAGAAATTAATTTATAACTTTCAAGCATCTCCAAAATGGTGTGTATTTTTTTTCAGTCATCGTTGAAGTTAGTAATTTGAGCCTGCTCCATGAGCACATCAGCTTAATTTGGAATATCTTGATAATTCAGTTATTATCATCATCATTGTAGTAGCTAAATAGTTACATTTTAAAATCGTCTGTTGTGCTAGGCACTTCGCTTTGATGATCTCAGTTCATCCTCGCAAATAACCCTTATAAGGCTGTAATCCCTATCTCTTTTTGGTGGAAGGAGGGTCATACCTGGTCATGGTCAGGACTTACTCCTAACTTTGTGCTCAAGGATGAATCCTATCAGGATTCTGGGAACTCTATAGGATACCTGGGATCTAACTCAGGTCAGCCATGTGCAAGGTCCTAGTTGCTGTACGATTGCTCCAGCCCTGTCAACCTATTCTTTAGATGAAAATCCTAACACTGACAACAATTAACTGAAAACTGCACAGCCAAACAAGATTTGAATTGGATCGGGTCCCACACCTGAGCTTTGTGCCATTATCCACGAAACTATCTATCAGTATTATTTGTTAGTTCTGCCAGGAAGAAGTAAATCATGCTTATTTTGTTAGACTGGGGTTTGCTTTTTCTGGCATTTACTGGAACCTTTTAGTTCCTGAGGTAGCAACTTGGTTAATGCTATCTCATAACCTGAAAGGAATAAAGCTCTGAATGCATCATTTTCTCCCTGGGATTTGGCACTTCCTGGAAAAAAAATTGACCGGAAGGGAATAAATAAGTAAGGTCTCATTACCTAGCAACTACCTCTATGTGTTTACCAGCAGTTGTGCTTCTCTTTGAAGTAAGAAACTCATAGTCATTTTCAAGCCATTTGCCAGAGCTTTTGAGGCATTCCTTCATAAGTCTGTCCTGTCGCCTCAGGCCAGTCATTCCATGGCTAAAATGAAAACACTTGATA